CAACAAAATAAAACTAGTACTGGTACCGAAAGAAAAGAAGATTTATTCATAACACACGTGAAAATATAAAAAGGATAACAAAATAACGCTGAAAACCGATAAAAACCCTGAAATCTATACATTTCACACCTGAGCCTCAACTCTCACGGCCTGGTACCAAACGACTCACGGACCGGTACCGGGATTGGGGACCGCTGCTGTAAGGTAAAGGCCCTACTATAAACATTTGACTGGGATCAGAAACAACCCCATTTTTAAAGTGACAGACTCGTATTGCCGTTTCATCCTGTCACATCTCATTGCAAGTAAAGCTTTATTATACTATTTTTCCTCTTGAACAAAAAATATACTTAATAGCTGACATTATGGTATGTTTCTATCATTCTGGTTATGTTAAACTCACCAGTGTAGTTCTCATTTCCCTGGGTGGCTTCACTCAGCAGCTGGGCTATGGCTGAGCTCACAGCCTTGGTGCTGTTACCCAGATCCTGGGAGCATTTCTCAAGCTGAACAACACAGCAAAAGACATGGAAAGAAACATTATCAACCATTCCTACCTTTTGAAAATAACTCACCAATTATTATTATTAAAAATTTTTTATGTTTATGCTTCGTTCATGGTGTTGTCCAGTGAACCAAAGCTATTTCAGTGTGCCTTACCGTCTCTCCTGGTAGTGGTTTAAGTTTGCCTTCTTCTGCTGATGCCTTGGCCTCTTGGATCTCCTTTTCCAAATCTCTCACCGTTGACAGAGCATTGTCTATTTCCAGTGGTCCACAAGCTTCCTGAGCCTAAGATACACAAAAATATCTGTGATTAGTTAAATAAAACATAGTTATATCTTGCGTGAATTAGATATCAGTCAAAAAAATCAGAAAAAATGTCTACACCATAATTGCTTCACTTGATTCATTGACCAAAAAATAGGTCATCTGTTAGAAATCTGGAAATTCATGTATTTCTTAATCTAAAACAGTATAAAAAAATCTAGAGAATTAGATCATTCCTGTATGATATCATTTCACAAAAGTTCAAACATGCATGAGTGTTTCTTAGCTCTTTCACTCACTTTGCTGACTCCAGCTAGCACAGTACAATGAACGCTGAAATCTTTCTCAGGATCAAACTGATGAATATATATAATTAGTACTACCTTTTGTGAGGCAGTGCGGAGCTCTGCCAAGGCACTGGCCAGGTTTTTAGCACACTGGCTGAGCTGCATAGCTGAAGCCTGGTCACTGATGGTGGGAACAGCAGCTTTGGAGGCTGTAACCATCTTAGCACCGGGCTGGTAGAGGGAAGAGAGACATGTTGAATTGGTTTTGATTTAAAGCAATTCATTCTAAAAAAGAAATGGACTATAAAGTGTTTGCTTTTCCTAAAACTTTTGCTAGAGGTGCGTTTACATCTCCTCATTCTTATCTCTAGTTAATAACGGTGTAAATAAACATATAAACAATAAAAAAAACCTCAATGAAAATATAGACAGTGCCAAGCTATATTGTTTTCAGATTTCTGACTATTCTTTTTCATCTCCCCCTAACCTACTGAGACCCAGCCTATTAATTTATGTCCTCTATAATGGAAATTTGTTTTTGGTCTATATCTTTTGACTTATTTGAGCTACCCTACTAAGTTACTACTAAATGTGTTCAATAGACAACATCTTGACTTTCCAATGATATCTCATGTGTTTGGGTGGTCTCCTTTAGTTCCAAAGAGGCAAGAAATAACAAAAAAGGTTAAACTGAAAGATGCAACCAGGTTACATGCATGGCATAAGTTATCAGTGATTTAGCTACCTAAAAAAGACACAGTTGTGACACAGAAAATTCCCAGGTTGAAGTAAAATCATCAGAAAAGATTTCTAACCCAGTGACAGACAACAGTGTTACTCTGTCTGTGTTTTAAGATTTGTTGCTCAAAACAATGAGGCCACAATCTGTTTGTGGCTGTTTATTATGACTGTAACACAGTTACATAGCTATACTCTTCTGTTGTTGTGTTAGTCTGCTGTCACTCAGTGAAGTTGGTGGTGTGACAGTCACCTGCAGGAAGTTCTGGCTGGCACTAATGAGAGCCAGCTGTGCACTTGGGCTGTCAGGCTGAGACTGGCTGCCTCTGACTCCCTGAACCAGCTGAGGGATCTGCTCTGCGACAGCCTGGAGACACACACACAATACAGTTTTTAAAAACATCTTAACACAACAAGCATAACTTTGCTAAGGTGGACAGTCTCATTCAGATCCTTCAGTTTGAAGGGTTTAGAAACCTCTGTACACTCCAGTCTGTCCCTCCTTTAAAAGGTTCTAGTCATCATACCTGGCGTGGATCGTCTGATTCTCACAGATTTGAAAGATAATAGATAAAAGCATGTACTTACTTTTAGTGGGAATACTCTGTTTTTGTTTTTTTTTACATTGTTTTAATTATGAGAAAGAGTACAAAATGTAATTTTTATTTATCATTTCTTTGAGTATATCAAGTTTATTAATAGGCGTGTGGCAGAGGTGTGGCTCAGCTGCAGGGGAGGAGTGGGACAGTGAGCTCAAGTGATACTCCTCAAAGTGATACAGTGTGTCGGGTCAATCACTACAAGGCAATATTAGGTTGTCCATATATGTTTTTTAAAAAAAGACCCAAAACCTCCATGAAATTTACTGTTTGTACCACTGATTGTTGATTCTACATAGCAAGCTTAGTTCCATATATGTTTATATAAACCAAAGCAAGTACTGAGTTTTTACCTTGCAGCCCACAACAAGCTGCTGCTGGGCGGCCTGGTTCTTGTTGGTTGAGGCTGCATGTTGTGCAGCAGCAATGGTCTGAGTGGCTGCTGCTGCTGCTTGTTTGGCTGCGTTCTGCCAGAAGAAAGGAACACGACAAGTCAAAAAAAAACAGCAAAGAGCACAAGACTAGCAATAATCAGAGAAATGACTCAGACAGAACTAATAATAAGATCCAAATGTTAAACTTTTGAAGTTAAAAACAGGAAGTTACTGAAGCCAGTATTATAATTAAGCATCATGTCAGACAGGCCACAAAGTTAAACTTAGTTATATTCCCAAAAGAGACACTGTACTAAAGTGTTTAAGAAATATTCAGAGTTCCACCGATCGTGGTTGGGTGTGAAATAGCTGCATCAGCATCAGACATCATTTTAAAAGCATTTTTGTGGTAAATCAATTCAATGCTATTTATATAGTGCCAAATCAAAGTAACAGTTGTCTCAAGGTGCATTATATTGCAAGGTAAAGACCCTCCAATAATACAGAGAAAACTCCAACAATCAGATGACGGTGACAGTAGGAAGGAAAATTTCCCTTTTAACAGGAAGAAAACTCCAGCGCAACCAAGTTCAGGGAGAGGCGGCTATCTTCCACACCGGTTGGGGGTGTTACCTCCAGTTTGTTGACTAGGCGTTTCTTGATAGCATTCTGCGCCGCAGCGTTGGTGGCCATGCGGAGACCTTCAGCCGCCTCTCGTAATTTCTGCTGCTGTTCCTCACTGTCGGGATTTGCTGCTGCACCCTGGGATAAAATGTTCACATTATATATTAAACTAACAAATCAACAAAATGATAACACAGTCTTATCCACAGAGTTTTAAAAAAAAGAAGAAAAAGACAAAGGCAGACCTTAGCGGCCTCCACCATCTTGGCTGTGGCATCAGCCAGCAGCTTGGCAGCAGAAAGAAGCTTGCGTGAGTTCTCTAGGTCAGACTCTCCTTCTGCATCCATCTTGATAGCATTGACCAGATCAGACGTGGCTTGAGCAAGGATACGAGCCTGACGGACCATCTCACCTAGTGTTGCAAAAAAGAAAGATGGAGAAAAATGTGATGATTAAAAAAACAATAAAGAAAATTTTGTCCTTCCAACAGTTGTGTGAGAAGAATATAAATTCTTAGCAGAAAGCTAAAGAAAAAATATTATTTTAAAATTCTGAGCAAGCATAGTATAAAAACTCTTTCTAAATAATCAACTCCTTAACCATGTCCCACAAAACAGAAGGTTCTAAGAATGTAGAAAAGGTAATGTAATATAATTAGCATGAAAAGTGGAGGTTAAACTAAACGATAACAGACAAGAAGAATATTATAGTCAAAAAACTGAAATGATTTAGGATTTTTAAGACTGATGCTTATTTTCACAAAACATAAATGGATCTCCCTAACATTAGTTATGTGTAGTTGTTTATGAGTGCTTACTAACATAATCCCATAAAGCAGTTCGAAAATAATCCTATTTTATTTTCACAAAAAAATGTGGATTAGTTGTTTGCTGTGCTTCAAATATTTGTTCCTAGGAAAGAAGTTATAGACTGCCATCTGGTGGACAAACTATATAGCAAACACAAATTATTCAAGTATGTTTTTCCCAAGGATGCCTCCCGAGTGAAGTTCTGGCCATGTCCCACCGGAAGGAGGCATGCTGGGGAGATTATGATCATCATCATCATTTATTTATTTATATAGCACTTTAAAAACACACGTGGTAGACCAAAGTGCTGTACAATACTAATATGCACATAGTAATAGATTATATCTCTTGGCTGGCCTCGGTGTTCCCTCAGACAAAGCTGTCTGCTTAGGCTGCTGTCCTGGAGACCCAGCCCCAGAAAATTCAAGGATGGATTTATCTTCAGTTATGAATCCAGATAGTGGTGTATCGCAAATAGCTAATATCACCTGCTATATATAGGTCCCACTGATTTCTCAATGGGAGTCTGGTTAAAAACAGAAAAGTCTGGAAGCAAGCTGCTGATTATAGACAACATCAAGAGGCACAAGCTCAAGGTTTTGAGGCATCAACAGTCACAAACATCAACCAAAGATTACTGAAAAATTTCAGATAGTTAGAGGAGCAGCTGATGCAAGACAGGCCAAGAATATCACAGAAGTAGATATCCTTGTCATAAGCCTCCAAACAGAAACATACATAGAAGTACGCAAGGATCACAGTATATGTAAAACTTTTGTAAAACCTTCTTTTCCTTTTTTGTTATTTTCAAGCTGTAAAACTTATAATAATAAGGTAATAATGCATTTTCAAGATCATCTCAGATTTTAATCACTTAGCTTACCATTACGAAATTACTTTTACATGATTTTACATACTGTTTTCTAGCACTAGCCTCTTAAAAAGAAGTCTGAGAATATTTTTTTTAACTAGACTAATGTAGATATGATCAGGTAACATGCTGGTGGAGCAGTTAGTGTCACCTGACAGAAAGAAGAACTCCGGCTGGGCCTCACTGTGAGTTTAAATGTGCCCACTGAATCACTATGAGTTTCCTGTGAGTACTCCAGCTTCTCCCACAGTCCAAGGAGATGCATTTTAGGTTAACTGGTGATTCAAAAATTGCCATGCACATAAGGTAGATGATGAGTTTAATATAATAGCACACTATTATATAATATAATAAATGTATAATATGAAGCACTGTATGAATGCATGGTGAAAATGTTACTTGTAGTCTAAAGCGCTTTCAGTGGTCAGAAAACTGCTATATTACATTGCCATTACATCTTCAAAATCTTTTTATTTATTTTTTAACAGTGAAAAAAATGCTGACTTTTCTAATATATAGATATTATATATGGAATATCCTGTGTGTCAGCTTTTCTTCAACTATGCTATTCCATATTTGGGGTAAACCAGTGGTGCTCCTGGAAACCAAGATTGTTCACAACACATTTTAGAGAATGTAATTTTATGGGTATAAAAAAAAGCCTATAAAGATTTCAAATTACAAAAGGATCCAAAGCCATCCTGTGGAAACAGTTTTAGCTTCCTTCACTTACCAGCATCTCCCATAGAGCTAAAGATGTTCTCAGTGACATCCAAAATGCGGTCAGTGGCTTCTCCATGACGTCCAATGGGATGGCCTCCACTGGCATATTGTTTGATGTGTTGAAGGAGCTCATTAAGAGCGTGTGTGACACCTGTGGCAGCCATGCCCACCTGTTTCAGGAGACCATCATCATTGGTCGCTCCCTGTGATGCCTCAACACAGCCCTCTACTGACTTAGCCACCAGCTTGCCCGCCTCAATTAGCTGCTCCTGGCACACTGGAGAGCTGATTGTTGGAGCCACCACCTTGAAGAGGAATAGGATTATTGGTGGGACAGAAAAGTAGAAAGACCTTAGGCTTGGCTCAAATGCAAAAAGAACATTTCAGTTTCAGTCAACAGTTGTCCCTATCAGACAGTGAACACTGTATTAAAGTCGAGTTTTCAATAGATTACTCACTCTTGTGCAAGCCACTAGCTGAGATGTGGACAAAGCGCATTGAGTTGCTGCTGCGATGACCCGGTTCTGCTGGGCTGAGTCTTCTGTCTTCTGGGCCACATTCTTTGCTTTGAGCACCAGAGCTGCTGCAGCATTAGCCACAGCTTTAGCCAATTGCATCAGCATGTCCTGCCAAAAGCAAACAGCAGTTAGCATACCTTATCATTGGTGAAAATAAAGTCAATAAATATTATGATATCTGGGCAGGAAAAAGAGTCTTGTCAAATGAATGTGAATAGTATATAATGTGTGATACTTTGTCTTGCATATACAATAGTAGTTCCTATTGCTACACAGCAAAATTAAAGAACTACCAAAACAGCAAAACACTACAATAATAAATGTTATGATGAGCACACCTGGAACTGTTGATCAGTGTCTGCCTCGCCTATGTGAGAAAGCAGCTCTCCGCTGGCTTGGCCCACATTTCCAGCAGCCTGCAGCAGATTCTGACGAGGCTGGAACCAAAAGATATTACTGACCTCAAACAAGAAAGAGTAGAAAAACATAATGTATCTCTGTCTTCCTTTTAGTTTGGCTGTGTACCTCTGTGTTTGCAGGTTGGGCAGTCTTTAGCATTTCAGAGACAGCACAGGCCAGGTTCTTGGCAGCACCAAGCAGATGCTGTCCATTTCCTCCTTCATCCTCCATAAGTGCTGCCAGAAGTTTAACACCCTTTGACATCTCTGTTAGGTTGGAGGAGATTGTAGTAACAGCACAGCCTACTGCTGTGTAATCTGTCTCTGCTGGATCACCTAAAGACAGACACGGGCAGAGATTTGTGCTTTATCTCCTACAGGACGCTTGTTATATTTGCATAAGAAACAAATTCAGAAAGTACTCAGAAAACAGATCAGATATCAATGGAAAAAAATAACACTGGATATCTGCTGGGATGAAAGGATGCTACATCATTTGAAGTAAATGAAAATTATCCTACTACAGGGGAATTCAAAGAAACCCAAAAAATCTAAGTGAAAAAAACAATGCAGCCGGGTAATTTGTATGGCCTCCATGCGCTTGTATGCATGGCTGACAACGTTGGGTCATAGTCCTAGTAAGACTATGGATGGTGTCCTCGGGGAATCTCCTCCCAGATCTAGACCAAGACATCAGTGAGATCCTGGACAGTCTGAGGTGAAACCTTACGACGTCAGATAGATAAAAAGAAACATAATGTCCCAAAAAATGTTCTGACAGGTTTAGGTCTGGCAAATGTGGGGGCCATCCTCCAGGAACTGCCTGCATGCCAATGCACCTGCTGGTGCATTGGCAATAGGGTCTGACAAGGGGTCAGAGGATTTAATCCTGATTCTTAATGGCAGTCATGGTGCTGTTGCCCATGTTACAGAAAGCATAACTTTCGTAACAGCTTCTTGAGACTCATGAGACTTGAGACATCTTCCACATGCTCAGGGTGAGGCACACAACCCCAGTGGTCCACCTGCCAGTTCTGGTATTCTATGGAAAATGGTAATCAGGTCGTCGATGCTGGGCAGTGAACACAGGGCCTACTACAGGACGTTGGGCCCTCAGGCACCCTCATGAGTTCTGTTTCTGGTGAGAAGACATTCACACCAGTGGACCTTTTGGGGGTCATCTTGTAGCACTGGCAGTGATCATCCTATTCCTCTTTACACAAAGGAGCAGATACTGGTCCTGCTAATGGGTTAAGGACCCTCTATAACTTTGGCCAGTTCGGAGTAAACGCCTGTGCTGGGGGACACAGCAAACCTTCTGGCAATGGAACACATTGACATGCCATCCTGGAGGAGTTGGACTACTTGTACAACTACCATAGGGCCCAGGTAGCCTCATTCTACCTTTAGTGACACTGACCCTATCCAAATGCAAAACTAGTGAATGCTTTGCATAGCAAAGTAGGGAACATGTTAGCATTAAAACTCAAAAACTGCAAAGTGAGCAGTGAAATTTATACTAAGAGAACTGATGCTGAAGGACAACCAGTATTCCAAATTCGTATTATCATTACTGCAAATGAACCTGACCAACAGGAAACTTAATGTTTAATAGTTGTATTTTCAGTTTGATAAGAAATTATGAATAAAATGCCTCAATGTATTTTAAGAGTCACATTGTCAGTGCAGATAATACACATTGTATGAGGAAAGAAATTTGAACAGTTCTCTTAATCTTTGAATTCAGGTGTTTTCCAGGTGTATAAAACAAAACATGTAGCCACGCAGTCTCCCTTCACAAGCATTTGTGAAAACTGTAAAGACCTTGCTGTAATAGGTAGTGTAATAGAATGACACCATTGCAACAAATGGTAAATGGACTGGTTCTTATATAGTGCTTTTATCCTTACTTTAGGACTCAAAACACTTTATACAGCATGTCTCATTCACCCATTCACACACACATTCTTACAAGGACTCTTTTCTACATCTGTGCTTTTTAGCTACCATTCAGACACACATTCACACTCTAATTCACACTCTAACTGCATTGGGAGCAACTCGAGGTTCAACATCTTGACCACTCCAGCTAAAGTGAGATGGAGGCTGGAGCAAACAGGATTCAAACCACCAAACTTCCAATTAGTAGACAATTGATTCTTCCTTCCTAGCTATTTAATGACCAATTGTAAGTGGTGTTACTGCAAAGAGGAAACATTTAGCAACCAAGTCACAGACTCAATGTTGAGGTGCATAGTGCATTAAAGTCAACAATGCTGCATTTACTCAATAACTTCCAGAGTTCTGTGATTAATATCAGCAGACAAAACGTGCACCGGGAGCATACATACAGTTTCCATAGAGTTTTTTTTTTTTTTTTTTTTTAAAAAGCATGATTACAAGAACAGAGAGATGTTCCACTATTCCTACCCGCAGTGAGGTTGACCATGGAGGCTGTGCCTGCTGTAATGGCATCCACCTGTGAATGGATTTCATGTTTGGACTCATCCATCTTGTTTTTGCGCCAAGCTTGAGATGCCTTAAATGAAAACAAAAAAACAATCCATTTAGAATGGAGTCTTCACTATACATCATCAATACAATCAGCACTTAAATCAGTCCAAGCAAATGAAGTGAAATCTCACTGCATCTGTTCCTAATGGAGGCAGAGTATCAAAATCATCCAGTGAAGCTTGGGCAGCCTGGACAGCATGCATACTGGAGTTAATGGTTCCAGTCAGGGCTTGCTGTGCTGAAGTCTGTTGATAAAAAAAAAGCGAATGTATTAAATTAAAAGAAATTGTGAATATAATTCTGTGTTTGAAACAACAAGATAACAGAAATTGCTCCTATAACTAAAAACATAATGAATGCATTTTTTTAAACTGTACTTGGCTGTTTGGATTTCTGTAAAACAAATTCACAAATATGCAATTCCTAATTTTTATAAAAGCGTCACTTCAGTGCTACAGATCAACATTGGCTGCTCAGTAAGGATTCTGGCATTGCACGTTCACATGGGTTTATGAGGATGTTAGCCTGCCATATTTAAGTTTTAAGGAAAGAGAAAATAAAGCCTACTGTTACAGTTTCATTTCCAATTTCTGTTTCATGTCTTATCATTCTGTCATACCAGTGGAGGCATATGTCCTCTGTGCATCTGTCCACTGGTTATGTGCTGCTTAGCTTGAGGCATGGAACCCATCTGGAAGCTCTCTGGTCCACCAGCTCCTGAGCGCATGATGGCTGGCAGGGCCACTGAGCCTGTCTCCACTTTGCCGACCCTGTTGAACTGCTGCTGCAACAACGTGGACCTGGAGTGGCATGAGAAAGAACCTAGTTTTGAAAGCCCTGAGGTGCAGGTCAATGATCCGGTTTGTAATAATGTAGTTGTCTCTTCAGCCACAACTCTTGAACGCTAAGCTGAAGAGAGGAGCTACACTGTCAACAAATAACTACCTGGTGGCGACTTAGGAAAGCTGAATACTCCATGGATGGATGGAGTATTGTTGGAATACCATTCAGTGAAACTTGTACGTGTCAAGTACAGAAAACTATTCAGTGGTAACACTCATACACTTACTTTTTGGGTGACACAGAGTCTTCTAGCATGGTTGACTCTTCATCTCCCTCCAAGCCAAAGTGGTCTTTGCTCTTTTTCTGTCAAGAGAAAGAAATGTGGTGACACACTGGATTATATCAAATTCAGTTTTAAAGGATTTATATTTTCTTTTGTTTCAAAATAAAGAAAATATTAAAAACATGAGTTTCAGTACAGACAGCTGCCTAGTAAGATGTTTTTCTATCACTTTTATGCAACTTTGAACAGTTGGTCAGGAAGCACTGCTCTTCTTGACACTACCATAGTGTCTAGCAAAATGAGTAGGCATTAACAGTGTGACTGGAAAAGCCAATGATGATATGAAAAACGACACTGTGATCAAAAGTATGCCAGACTCACTGACGAGCACACTGGGTCCAGAGTCCTGTGTGAAAGTGCCATGAGTGGTAATCCAGTTGTCAAGCAAAAGGCACATATTTTAAAGAACTAAATAATACATTTTAACAGAGCACAGAGAAGATAAACAGTGTTGTGCTGCAGTAAGAGCAGCCACTTTCAAGCTTGGGCTTGTAAAACACCTGAAAAGACGCAGGACTTCGTGTTTCATATCTTCTTTGTGAAACGTCAGCACAGAACTTGAGATCACCTTATGGTATGATGATAAATACACACCAGCACATATGTAACATATGTAGTATGTAAAGAAATTCTATTGCGTTGAATACTTACAGAGTGACATGGAAAGAGTAACATGTCAAAAGAAATCTCACTAGACAAAATGGTGGTGTAGTATTTTTTGACATTTTTTTTAGGAAATAAATTCTTCATCCCCCATCAAAGCATCCATGTTGTCAATGAAATGTATAATGCTGCTGACCTTTTTAAGGATGATGTCGATGTAACCAGCAATAAGCTGAGCTATCTGCTCTCCCTCAGTGGTCTGCACAGAATAGTAACCGTCCTGGTAATCTCCAAAGTCCTAAAGGCAGAGCAAACAACCATAAGTTAAAATACCTTACAGATTATACTGGAAAATGAATAGCTTCTTGAATAGGTGAACTATTCCATTAGGTTAGGTGAAAAACAGAGGATGTAGTGAGAAATTACCAAAGAATCAATTGAAGGCTCAACTGAACTTGTGCAATCTGAACAAAGGTGAAATTTTTCTGCAAATGATTTGTATACAAATTTAAAATAAAACTTTTAATACCACTGATGGAACATTTTCTAGAAGCGCTTTTGCTTGAGAGCCTTCCATAATTTGAATTACTTTCCCCTGGACGTAATTATGCAACGTACTGCATTACTTTTAAGAAGATTGTTCTGTTTACTAAGTACTTTTTTCGAGTAATGAGCCCAACACTGATTACAGCAAAGTGGGGATATACCTCTGACATGCACATACATTTGACCACACAGCATGCAAATCATTTTCATGAATGTAATATGTCTTTGATATCCTACTTAGCGATGGTGGTGATTCTTAACGCACCCATGAGAAAAGAGAAGTGATATCAGTAATTGACTTCCATCTCTAGGTCTCACTAAAGTATTTTGCTAGAAAAATGCATGGAACGAATATTTGGAAATTGACGTTTTAGGAGAGGATTAGAAATCAGCAAGTGGTCCATCTGGGTTTAAATACTTAGGGATTAGTATGACTCGTTCTCTATCTGGCCTTAAATCAACTAATTTGACTCCCCTTATATCAAGGATTACATCTGATATTCAAAGATAGGGTAATCTCCCCCTTTCTTTAACCCTCTCAGGCTCAAATTAAACTTTTTGTTGCTAATGCACAACCAAGTCCTGCAGTGGTACTTCTGAGTAAAAAAAAATCATAAAATATGTATGTAAGGTAATTAGGTTGTTAGTTTTTAACTGTTGCAAATCAGTAACGGCTGCCTTGAGAGGGTTAATCTGTAAGATTAATGTTGTTAAAATGAACATCTTACCAAAATTTTTATTTTTATTTCAGTCGATTCCCTTATTTTTGCCGAAGCATTTTTTTGTTTCACTGGACAAGATTATTGGTTATTTCATTTGGGGAGGGAAGTCACCTAGGGTGTCTAAAACTTTACTGCAGAGATGCAGATTTAGTGGAGGACTTGCATTACCTAATTTTCTAGCTTACTACTACTACTACGCTCACATCCATAAACTTTGCTACTGGCTAAAGTCTTCTGGCTCTTCGTGGTGTAAATTGGAGCGATCATCATGTAAGGGCTCCTCTATACCAGCTTTGTTCTATTCCTCTTTACCCATAAAACCCTCTCTGTATACTGATAATAGGGTGGTTCTTAACACACTCAAGATCTGGTTTCAGTTTAGACGGATTTTGCAATGCCATCTTCCTCGGGTCCTCTAAACGACAACCATTTGTTTCCCCCTTCACTCTTGGACTCGACATTCTCAGTGTGGTGTGACAAGGGTATAAAGCAGTTCAAACATTTATATGTGGATGGTGTTTTCGATAGTTTTCCCAACTTGTCTTCTCGTTATAATCTCCCTATTACCCATTTGTTTCGCTATTTTCAAATTCGAAAAAATTTGTTGCCAAGTGTTTCCCAAATTTCTCCTCTTTACCTCCAGAACAGCAGTGGGAAACTACGCTATCATTTATTCCTCATCACACAGGAACCATTTCGAAACTCTATGATACTATCCTGTCTTTTAGTAACCACTCTAATGTTAAGCTTAAGTGCACATGGGAAGGGGAACTAGGAATTCAAATACATGAGGAGTCTTGGGAACAGGCTATAGCGAGGGTATGGTCTTCCACCTCCTGTGCTCATCTTGGACATTCAATTTAAGGTCATACACAGACAGGGTGCATTTCTCTAAGTCTAGACTTTCTGAATTGTATCCAGAAGTGGAAAACAAATGTAATAAATGCCATGGCTCTCCTTTTCACCTTAGCCACGTGTTTTTTTCTGTGTCCTGAGCTGGAAGGTTTCTGGACATGGTATTTTGCTATTATGTCAACTGTTCTTGGGGTAACGCTTCATCCTTGTCCCCTGATTGCTATATTCGGGATTCCTGATCGCTCACTTACACTTGATTCTACAGAAAAGGATTTCTTAGCTTTCACATCCCTATTAGCGAGACGTCTAATATTGTTGTATTGGAAGTCTGTTAAGTATCCTACTATTTTCCAGTGGCTTAAAGATGTCATGTTTTTTTTTTAAACTTGAAAAAATTAAATATACGTTGAGAGGTTGCACAAGTGGCAACCCTTTATTTCTTATTTTGCTGGTCTAGAGGTATTGCCTGTTTAAATGTACTTCTGTTACTGTTATATTCCTGTAATATGTTTGATGGTTGTGTTGGGGGGGGGGGTTCTTTGTTTTAGATTTTTTTTTAGTTTAGTTGTTTTTTTATATATATAAGTATATTTACTTAGGAAAATGAAGAAAGGTTAATTGTATTTTGGTAAGTGCAAGTACTGTGTTGTTTTCTTTTTTCAATAAAAATATTTGCAAAAAAATAAATAAAAATCAGCAACTGAAGCAATTCAAACACCATGAATGCATGCTTCATATTAACTCACTATGACTGAGGGGACAGAGGCAATAGAACTGTTTTGGGAAGAAGTCAGATGCAATGTTACACAGTGACAAAAATGTTACACAGTGACAAAAATGTTACACAGTGACAAAAATGTTACACAGTGACAAAAACCCAAACAATCTTAAGGTGTTGCACTGGCCTGGTGGAAATAGTAAAAAAAGTCTAATAAAAGTCATTTCAGGTGTTCAAATCAGAAAAAGAGAGAGAGAGAGATCTGGTTAGGATATTTCCAGGCTCAACAATGCTCTTATCTTGTCTCAAGAACTCACCAGGGTGAAGCTCTTTGGTGAGGCAGCCCAACGTTTAATGTTGGTCAAGTTCCACTCCTGGATCACCTCCTTGGTCTTCTCATCAACCCTCATCACGCACTCTTTGGTTATACCCAGAAGTCGAGGCACCAATTTGTTCTTACCCTTCATTTTCTCCTGCATGAAGGGAAATGAAATGACTGTGAAGTAAACCTAAATTAAACTGGGCAAATATTAATGACTCAATCCATGAAGATCCATAATCAACAAATTAACTCAGCCATCATCCAGCTAGCACTGCAGAAGGAGAGAAAGCATATAAAGTATTTAAACATTTTCAGATGAATCTTGCCCTATTTGTGAATTTTTCTTCTCTGACTCTTATTTGTACCCTCCTCTTCCCCTAGCCCTTTTTCAGAAATGTAGTAGCAAACTGGCTAGTTTGGAGAACAGTTTCCACTAATGCAACATGCTGGACTGGTTGGTAGAAATTGCAAGTTTCTACTTTTGTGCTGATCTTATTATTGTAAATAATATTATTTAATTATGTAAATGAATATTATTTGTAAAGTGAGTCTCAAGTCTCAAATCAAAAGCAACCTCCACTTTGGTAATCCATTGTTCTTCTCACCTTGACCAGAAAGAATGACACACCATACGTTTTCAGGGACCTGGCCAGCTTCACATAGTTGACTTTAGCCTCAATCTCTGTCATGTTTTGACAGTTTTTGTGTGCCTGCAGAAACACAGTCAGAGGATTAGAACAACTCACTGTGGTATTATGTACCAGCCTCCAAGTATAAGTCATCTTGATAAAAATTTGTGTTTGACCTGATCTTTATACATCAAAAATAATAAACAGAACAGTACAGTCAGAACTGACATTTAGTTCAAAACTGCCACAGAATCCACTTCTTACCTGGAAGATCTTCTTCTCCCCTTTGTTCTTGATGTATTCTTTGGGAAGGAACTCTTTTAAACTAAAGAGGAAAAAGGTCAAATCAAAAAAAAAAAATTTAACAGGCAGGTCATTACAGTTTGAAGACAAAACAACAATACAACCAAAATACCAGTGCTTACTCTAAAAAGCCAGACTTGTGTTTGGACTCGTTGTGATCCCCAAATTGAATCTGACACTGATAGCCTGCAAACTCACAGGCCTTATCAAAGGAGACTGGATGAGATCCATTCAGGATGTCATCGCGAGCCTGTCCCAACACACACACACACACACAAAATCATTATAGTTTTTTAGAGCAAAACTTTACAGTGTAAAACAGCATATAACATTTGAGCCACTCTTCATTTTCTTCACTAGGAAAATTTAAAATAGGTGCAATAATTTATTGAGCCAGTTCAAAAATATATTTAAATATGATATATAAGAAAAAATACAATTGAAACAAGCTTCACAGTCAATATTTGGTATGATTAACTTTAGCCTGAAATCTGAAATGGTACTTTTCTGTGTTCATAAGTCCATTTTTAATTTTAATTTTTTTTTTTACAAAATTCCCAACACCACTGGCTGAAGTACAGCCCCAAACAATGATAGATCCTCCTTCATATTTTACAGATGCCTGTAGACACACACAGCTGTATCTTGACCTCCTTCATACATCCTGACACATTTGAACCACAAATTTAAAACCTGGATTCATCACTCCATAAGAGTCAGTTCCATCAGTTCTTGTGTAACTTGGTATGCTGTAGCCTTTCCTCCCAATTTCCCTTCCTATAGAAGGGCCTCTTGACAGCCAGCTGAGCCACAGAAACCATTTCTGGTGAGGCTTCCAAGAACAGCAGATGGATCAACTGAAGGGCATCTCTCAGGTCCTGTGTCAGGTCTTTGCAGAAGAAATTTTTTTAAAGAGACAAGACTTTCAGATACTATCTATCTGCTGCAGATTGTTTTTAAGCCTGTCTCGTCTTCTTTTGTCCCCCACTTGTCCAGTTTTATCCACAATGTTTTAAAGACACTGCACACCATGCCAAGATATGCCAAGTTTTTAGCTAATAACTCTTCGGGAATCTACTTGTTTGTCTATTATTTTATTCCTGTCAAACTGTGTTACCTTTGGTGGTTTTTATAGATTCAGTTAAAATAACAGGAGTAAATTCTGTGTTTTTGTGATGAGCTGCCAGTAGCAAAGTTCCTAAAAACAATTTAAAATGGGTTCTTTGCAAAGTTGACACAACATAGATTCATCCCTTGAATTAGGTGCCTTTTTTATGCTTAAATGATTAATAGATAAATATTAAGTGGCTCATCAAACAACACAAAATGAGTTCAAAGGCAGCCAATAGCCAAAGAATTTTTTTTTAAAGATCTGAAAAAGAAAATCTGGCTCCTTGGAACAAAATATTAGGAAATGAGGGGTGGCTCAAGACTGCATAATGTCTATCCATAATAATAATAATAATAATAATAATAATAATAATAATAATAATAATAATAATAATAATAATAATAATAATAATAAATAATAATAATAAATAATGTCAATAAGAAAGTCAATGTCAATGTTTTTCTGTACCTGCACATAAAGCAGGTTGAGCTGGACAGGATCTCTGGAATCCACATTTTGGTCTGAGTAGAAGAATTTTCTTCGCAGCAGCAACATCTCTGTCTCCTCCACGCCCTGTTCCCTCAGTGTCCGTCCATGGTCCAACCAGTTCACTACGGAAAGCCCAAACCAAACGGGATGCCATAAAGACCAATATTAGAAATATATTAGCCAGTCAAAATGTTTTAGCATCAAGGTGAATTTTTTTAAAGTCATATTTTCATTGTAATCTGTAACCATATTTTGATTCAGATAAAGCACATTGCTTACTCTCTGGAAAAAATGTTTCTCATTCCTGTTTCATGACACCATAATATTTAAGCAGAACACTTTGTTATAATCTCCTCTCCCATGAATGTCGTATGGGACAGGAGTTTCAGAAGCAGACATACCAGTTTGGAAAGCAGACATTGAATTTACTCAGAAAAATTGGTTAAAGTTTTTTTTTCTTTTGGATAAAGCTCAGCATAAGGATTGGCTAATGTGTTTCCAGACAGAAAAAAGACTAGTCTTTCCAAATTCTTTCAGAGTTACAGAGTTAAAGAATGTGGCAGTGAAGATTTGGTAGATTAGTTTATTTATTTATTATTAAATATTTATCCCTTGGGACTTCCAGATCCCGACGGACAAGATAGTGATGGCTAACTAACCAGAGATAGTAGTGGTGGACAAGCAGAGAAGAAGGTTGTAGTGATAGAGGTAGTAATACCAAGCAATAGCAACAACAGGAAGATGGAACACAAGAAGCTGAGAGAGGAGCTAGAGAAGATGTGGAAGGTGACCCGGCACACACACTTTGGTTAAGCAAGTGTGTTATAGAGCATTAGAATGGAGGCTTGTATTTCTCATACACTCATCGTCTGTGTGGAGTTTCTGCTTCAGCTTTTCCATTTTCTTGTCGTCTCTTAAAAGAGTTTTGTCTCTTTTCAGGGTTCCTGTGGTTTCCTCCTTCTTCTCTTCACCAATGTCTCGCACCAGTGAATATTCATCATAGTTTGTAATACCTGACATACAAACAGATTGAAATTACTACATTTATTTTACATTTTACACAGCATTATATATACACAAGAATTTCATGGTAGGTGGGGAAAAAAGCAATAAACCTGTAACAACACACAACATCTTGTTCTGGAAATGTGAGCTGTGTGTGGCTTATAGCTGACCTATTCTAGCACATATGGTCATCAGCATGTCACTGACAATCTTGGAGTCATCCACCATTACAGTCTTCACTGTCCCATCCAACATGCGGATCTTCAGTGGCCTCTGCTTCTTCTTGTATTCCAGAGTGTCCTGTCAGACAGAGGCAACAGACCAGCTGCTGATATTTTGTTGGAAACTTTGAAATAGATTTAAAATAGATCCTGCTATTTCTCACAATACTCACAAAAATAAACAAAAACAACCTGACTCAGCTAATTTAGAGCAAAGAAACCAGTGATGTCCCTTGGTGAAAGTGTATTTAGTACTCACAAATCATCACAAATGCATCCTAATTCATAAATTTAACAGTTAGTCATAGCTGAATGTGTGATATACTTCCTTACCCCATTCCTTAACATGTAGTAGTCCAGAGCCTTTCCAGCCTCCAACCAGATGCCTTTCTTTGGATCTTCATCAGACAAAAACAGTCCGTAGTCATTTGCTGTAGAAGAAACACAAACGCTGATTAAGTCGCTGGATTTCTATTTCTTGCCATACCTGTGGATCTCCAGACAGTAGACTAGAAGTACTTATGCTAGTCCCCTGTTCATGTAAATCACATTAGTGGATTAGTCTTTCAAACAAACATGTTTTAACAGGTTCACATCAGCTTGCCAAAGTCAAAATGTGACCATTCTAGTCTAATCTGTTGACTGACACAATATTAGGCAGGTGGTTACAATGTCATGCCTGATCAGTCTATGTGCAATATGCAGCATACAATTTCTCCATGTCAACAATCCAACAATCAGTTCTGATGAAGTAAGAAGTAAAAAAAAGAAAGAGAACTTACGCTGGCCAAGCTGTGCCTCTGGGACTCTCTCCCTGATGATGCGACAGGCATCGTAGACCATGGTGGAGGGCTCAAACTGCATAGTTTTCACTACATTCCCCACACTAATCTTTAATGACAGGGTCACCATGATTGCTGCTCTGCACCTCCACCCAACTCACACCTGCATGAGGATCCATAAAGTAGTTAGTCGTAACATGTCAACTGTACCATTACAGTGAAATATCATATTTAATTCACAGTCACAATACCAATAGTACAACTCAATCTGAAAGACATATAAAGTCTATTGAAAAAAAAAGACTTTTTGATAAACACACACACACCTTATTTCCTGTTAAAAGGAGGTTTTAACTGCAAGTGTAGAACAGCTGTAACTGTATACTCTAAATAATGTCAAAGCTGCCTCCTCTCACAAGTAGCACACAGCAGGAAGTTCTCTACATCAAAGGTATTCTCATTGCACATAGCTATGACAAGAACTGCTATATTCATAAATATATTTTATTTTGGTACTCCGTTACATGACATTCTGCTAAAGAACTTCACATTAGTAGGAAGTGAAAACTAATCTCTCAGCCCCATGTCTTAAGCTGAGGTTAAAGTGAGAAACACCACCTCTAGATCTTTTTTTTACATGTGTCACATATAAGGCTGTAAACAAGTTTAAAAAAAAGTTTTTAACTGAAAATCCAGTTTTCCGGTTCCTGAATAAAAAAAATTTGTCTCTTAACCCTTTAAATGCCAGTAAAGGTATTTTTTTTTGGAAAACAACTCTCTGTGGCTTTGTCATTGTGAGAGATTCTTTGTCATTTCTTCATGCAAGATCCTGAGGTTGTATAGCAATGAGAGGTAAAGGAAATAAAGAGTAGGGGATTTTCTTTTTCAGCTTTTTTGAAATGACATTTTACTTATCACTGTGACACTGTCAGACTCGCATCCTGATAACACTCTTTCACCATCTTGCTCCCTGTGTAGTATAAAGGGGATTCAACCTAAAAAGTACAGCTAGCAACATGACCGCTGGTTACTGCAGAAACAAATAAAAACAAACAAACCAATGCCAAATGTACTGGTTATACACATACTCTACAACTCTGAGTACTCAAGCACTGCTTTTTACTACAAGTCATATTCATCTATTCTCACACAACCCAGGGATGGAACCACTGTCTACTAGGGATGGGTATCGCTTAGGTTTTATCTGATACCAAATACGGTGCATTTCTCAGCTTTTAAAAAATGCTATGCGTCGCCAGGTGTTTCATCAGATTCGAGGTGTTACCTCCTTTGCACAGTATCTCCTTGAAGCACTTGTTGCAGGCTGCTGAGTTTGCATCTTTTGCTGTGAAGTACAGTCAGACTTTTGACCGCTTTGCCTTGGGCATTTTTAATCTGTAGCTCGGCTCTAAAAGAACGTACGTACCTGGGCAAGCCTACTATCCTTGGAAAGGTAAGATGATTGGCTAGAATCCAAAGTGTATGACATCTCAGGAAAAAAAAACACCGAAATGTGCGCTGCTTTTCGGTCTGGTTACTACCGGTGCCATCCCTACTGTCTACTTGCTCTATCAAATGACAATCAAACTGCTTTCTGACAAAAACCAGTGTGACAACAGGCTGAGTGAGATGAGCCACTGTCTGGAGCATTCATATATAGTTGTCATATATCAGTGAGTACTTCTCACTATATGTTAAAAGACTGTTTTGTTTTGTTGGAGAAAATGTTTTCATACTATACATACTATACTTCAGAAAAACATGCTATAAGAAGATGGATGGATGGTTTTAAAAAGGCTAACTTGTAAATATGCTTCTCATTGTTAGGGCTCCTGATTATGATTTTACTATTTGACATGATCATGAAGAAGATGAATAAAATACTTACCTGACTTGAACCAATTTTTTGTAACAGCCACTCAGATGATCAGCTCTGTGTTTCTTCTACCTAGCTGAGGAAAATCAAATATAAACAGATATACGATTTTTTTTATTGATCCAACATTTTCAATGACATAATGATATGCTTTTACATTATAACGATCTTACAAAACACAGTTCCACAGCATTTTGTACTCTTGCAATTCCACACCATAATAATGTTGTCCTATTTGAAATATAAAGCTGCAGATAAACTCACTTTTTGACACAACATATGACATGTAATTTAAATGTTCTATTCCAAAAGCCAACTGTGAATACGGTACACAAGCTTTAGACAGTGCTCAGTCCCTGTTTGCACACATACATGTTCCAATAAATCCCACAAATGGAATCTAGTAGAGTTCAAGAATTTTATCTGACAATAAAGCAGAAACTGTTGCTCAACTGAAAGAATACACAAAGGGAATTGGAATGTGTTTGTATATTAGAGATTGATTTCTTTGTTTTTTTTATAACACTGCAGACACTTTTTAAAAAAATGTTATAAAATAAAACATTAGTTTAATCCATTTTAGTGAAATTAATGTCAGAATTAAGCGTGTAACTAGTGAGAAGGTCCACATAACTGGTGTGTTTCTGTTTGGTGAAGTGTGGCAAGGTGTGGCGTGCTTTGCAAAATAAGACAGGACAAGACAAGGCAAGAAAAATAAGAGTTGGGACATCCTACATTACGTCAGTTAAAAATTGTTAAATACAGCTGAAGTATAAACTAATCTGAAATTAATATAAATACAGTAAAACAAGCATAAATGTAAACAATATATAGAAAGAAATATTTGAAATATAATCATATGAAAATCAACAAGCAAAAACAGAATTTAAATTTTAAATATAATCAGCAGTACTAAATGCACTGAAACAGACTAGCAAATATCAGAGTACATCAAAGTGGCTCAGCAGAACAGCGCAAGTTGTAGTGGACACTGCAATAAATTGGTGTGGTATTTATGTGAGCATGAGTGCAGGGTTAAAGTAAACTTAGCATGAGAGAACAGATTACTCTTTGCTAGAGAGATGTGTTGCATTGCAGACAGTTATTGTATGATATGAATAATTTCTTCTGATGTAAAAGATTTTTACATGTTATTAATAGCTATTTTAGGTGTGTGTGTGTGTGTGTGTGTGTGTGCGTGTGTGCGCGCGTGCATGCATTGGAGGAGGAGTGCAGCTGTCGGTCAAGTGAGTGGGTTCATCTCTAGAAATGAACCCACTCCTCTTCCTCTGCTGTGGAATGACAGCATTCTTTCGAGTTCCTAATCAGCTGTCTACATGTCATTTCCTGTTTTTAAAAGACATTCAATGCCATATATGGGCATCTCTAACATCCACACATGCCCAGCAGTGACTTAGCTGGAAGTCTGCAGTGAGTATTGGGTCAGTTTGTTGACAAAGCTTACTAATCTAAAGCTCATCCTAGTCCTTCAAGTTTCAAAGTTACAATGTTCACGTTTAGTCAGTGTTAGTCCTCAATATTATTCAATGTAGAAACTTTAAAGCTCTAAATGCTCAAAGACCATTATCGAGCAAAAGCTACTTCAACATTCAAATCTTCCTGTTTATTTAACACCAGCTCGAAATCTGAAAGATAATCTTGTTTAAAAACATTGCAAGTCTACAGACTTCAGAAATTGTACTGTAAATGCTTCCCACTCCACCCTGACTGAAAGAGGAAGTGCGAGGTCACAACAGTAATTACTGCAGTTGCTAAAAATGAGAAATAGCACAGTAAAGGTCTTAGTGTACTCTAAAAACACTGTAAAACAATATCACAAATGAAAACACAATTCTTTAATGGTACAGATATAAAAAATGTCCAGCTGTTGCAAAAGGGATTCCAAGTTTGGGCTTTTAAAGTATAAAATTAGTTAGCCGTTGAAGGTACTTTCTCCTCATAGTGCTTAAAATATATCTTTGCAATAACACAGAATTAATGCCTCTTTCCAGAAAACATGACTTGGTTCTTACAAGAAAAAAATGTGTGGCTAACTTGACTTCCTGTTAGTCAAAGCCAGACTTCCTCTGCAAAGTGACAGTGGCCAGCTGTCATCCTAAAGCCAAGTATCCAAGCTATCAATGGAATTCAGATACTCTATACCTCAGTCTTTATCTAGGGTACTACAGGCCTGACCCAATTTTTTT